ATATATACTGTGTGTGTGTGTGTTCGTGTGTTTATTATATATATAAATATATATAAATAAGAATAGCTTTCTACTTTCTTGCCCGTGTCTGCTGTTGTCCTCTGTTGTAATTCGATTGTGATCTTACAATTATACTGATAGATAAAATAAAAGTTGTCAATTAGTAATGCGTTGTATTAGTTTACAGACAGCCGAAATTTCATTGCACTGCACGTTTCTAGTTCGTACAGGTTTTACGTCTATTATCCCTATAGCAAACCACATCCAGTGGGCTGCTACCATGCCAATTCTGACCCCTCTCAGTCCAGAGTTCTCGTCATAACTTTGGTCTGAACTGATAGCCATAACCACCTGCCATTAAAAGAAGATCTCGACTACTATCACTTCCACTATAAATGAAAACTGGTGTGTGTACTTCAACGGAACCAGCAAATGTTGCAGTACCAGAGGTAGCATACACAGCACCAAAGGGCGACTCATCACCACAGCACCAGTGTATAGCGCAGCGACGACATACGCTGTAAGACCGTGGTGTAGAAGTGTGGCTACTGCGCTAACAAAGCCTTGACCACCGAGACGACACCACGTTCTCATAGAGGATTCAGTGGGGCTCTCTGAACTCAACAGTTTACTGTTAGCCACGCCTTCAATCGTCTCTGGAAATACAAGCTTGAACAGGCCTAGCAACAGGAATGGTAGCCCCACAGTGGATGAGGCATATATGGCGATTGATAGGAAGACTGGCACGAGTGCCTCGGCTACTATCCAAAACATGAACAGCGAGTCGGAGCCTTGCCGGAGCAACATTGTACCGACGACCATGTCCAGTGCAATACCAGCCACGACCGTACCCACAGACATCAGAACTGCAGCGAAAATACGGACATCGCTGTCTTCCGTCCAGGCGCCGGGGGCGCGAGAATTGAATTCCGAAAATCATGAGCTGCTGTTATAAGGAAAGGCGGTTTTCACACGCTCGAACATATCCTGTAATATACTTGGTGTGGGCGTCGTTACCTCGCTTTCTTTCAGTATTATTGTTGCCAGTGTATTGGCTGCGACTGTGCTATCGAAGTCTTCTGTGGACTGCGAGTCAGTGGGGTCATTATAGTAGAAGTTCATAAACATGAACAGACTAAAACTCTACGGCGTTTAATGAGTCACTTGTACATAGCACACTCGGCGTGAGCAATTTCGACAGAGGTGCAATTCTGCCGAAAGGTAGTGTGAACGCCAAATTTCAGGAGTTGTACGCGTTGGTCCATGGTATACCCGAAGGCCACTTGAATGAGAACTCGCTGATATAGGGCGGCGTGTATATCGCCGATGCCAGTTTTAAGCCGTTCACGGTGTTGTAACTACTGCCTAAGGTTTTATATCGGTGAAAGAATAGGTTTAAAACTCTTGCAAGTATGGCGGTATGTACATGTATAGTCAGACGCAAACAATAAACAAAACTGGTGCAGCCCTAATGCATGTATGAAGTATTGTCAACACACCTCTGTGACTGAAGTCCAACTCCGTTGCCTCGAGTATGTTCAACTGTAGGAGATTCTACAAACTGCGTGTTTCTGCCGAAGTGAATGGCAAGTTGGACACATAGTGCAGATTCACCAACTCAATCAGAGCCCAGATAGTATAATACTGGCCTTCCATGAAATCGACAATATCTTCCCCAACTTTGCGCCTCATCAATTTAAACGATTGCATCACAAGCACTCGGTTCTGTCGGTACAACTCCTTACCGAATTGAGAAAAAAAAATGCGGATCTCTGATAAAACTCTCCAATTAGTGTTTCCACAATCGTCATATATGTCAGATAATATCGCAATTGTTGCTTAAAATCATCCATCGGCATCTTCAATATAAGTCTAACATCTTCATCACGTAGCGTCATACATGCATAGCTTGCTAAGGCCTGATTGGCAGCTGCGCACGTATTTATTTGAGCAATTATCGGTTGGAATAATATAATTCCGTCTCCAAGTAGCCCTGCACTCCTCAAAACACTCGTGTTCTTGACTGTTAGGCTGGGAGATAAATTGAATTTTGAAACGATATCCACCACGACAGCTGAGGTGATGGTAACATTCTAACCGATAAGCTGCGTTAGCTCATTCGCCCATCTGTCTACACATGCAGCTGATGTATCCGCGTTGTTGAGTGGAAGTACATATACATCCTCGAGTAGGGCCAAATGTGCGTCGATTAAGTCAGATTTAGTCGCGAAGTGTCGCTCTAAAGGGGGAATAGCCACTGATGCATAACTAGATACCTCGGTTGAGAAATCCAGTACAGGATATTCCGGTGAATGTAGAGAGTGCAGAGGGTCCAGCACAAAAACGCCGATGAGTTGTGTGAATACTATTAAGCATACGACACATAAAATGAGCTTGGATCTTCGCAATGTAGCCCTCTGGAAAGGGCAGCAGCTGCTGACCAGGTGGGCCCACGTAGAGAGGCTTTAGATTGTACCATTTTGCGTTTCTACTGTGAGCAATGTCGGGACTCTACGAGTATGTATTCGTCCCTGGAGTTTCGACCGTGCATGGTTTACTTACAGCAAGATTATCATTTTTACTATCAGCCTACATTATCGTGAGTAAAGTATTTACGGGTGTATCACTGTTTCGGATTGTGGATGGTATTTATAAAAGAAGTTGTCTCCTAATCTTACATAGTGTGCATGGTCAGTGATGAAGTTTATACTACAGAGATCGTAAATACATACGTGAGTGGAATACTTTTCATTTAGCATATATATTGTCTCATAGAGCCACGAGTGGATCTGAACGGCCCCTCCACTACCTCCAGGCTCGCAAATATGAGGGTGACCAACTGTTGAAGACGGGCGCTATGCATGCGTCCGGCAAAAGTTGTTATAGTACACGAATACGACGAGCTCTACAGATCTGAATCAGTGAATCGCTCACACATATTATGATATATACTATGTAATAAAGATCCCAATTGTTTTCCAAATATTTGGATTTGTTTTTTAAAAAGAAGAAATATACTATTTTTTTCTGAATAAATTGTTTTGTTTTTGAAAAAAAACAACAACAGTCCTTCGGAGTTCGGGCGTTATTTATTAGGTCTGACGTCCGGACATGTCGTCATAGCGCAGTAGTTTCCGCCGGTCTTAATATATCGTCATAGCGAAAAGTGCTGACTTATAGCAGCTCAGCTAGAGAGAGTACTGAGTAGAGAGAGGGTTATGAACAAGAGAAACAGTTTTGAGTTTCGACTTTCGACAGTGGGACAGTGCCACTGTCCACAGTGGGAGTCTTGGCCGTAGGAGTTGGGACCCCTTGTTAAGTTGTTGGCCTCCACAAGAAGAGGCTCCGGCACAATAAATAAAATCCAGATTTGAGAAATTGAGATCCAAGGATGTACAAAAAAATATATAAATATTGTGTATAGAGTAATTTTAGACTTTTATTTATTTATGATAATTCATATGTAGCCTTCTGAAAAAGTGAAAATAGAACAAGAAGGCTATGGTAAAGTTTATTAAAAAAACAAATACAATATCGGAACTTCGGAAGGGTATTTTTAAAAATTATGAAATTGAGTATTTTTGCTCTTAATATTGAGTCATGAGTCATGGCCCTGTAAGACTGTATGGCTGTATCTGGATGACTGGATTCTCCGATTCTGGGACTGGAATCTTCTCTCAGAAATGATTTTTCATATTTTTTCTCGTCATGGAGGATAAATTTTTCATCCTCCGACAATTCCAGAGGGCCATGGCCGCCATGCTCTATTTTATAAATTAAAAAATATATATGTATGTCCATATATATATCTTATTAATATTTTTATTAAAACAATATTCAAATTTGGGGGGGGGGTTTGCTGACATTTTTGATTTTACATGTACATATTTATGTACGTCAAATTCTTGAATTTCAGTATTTTACAGCCTTCTTGGAACCGCCTTTTGGCTTTTAGAATATTTGTTTTTTGTATAAAAATTGTCTAAAATTTAGAAGGCGATGTAAAATATAAATAAATATTATATTTTAAATATAAAAATATTACGCTTCTCGGTCGTTAGATCTGGCCTGGTAAACAATACCGACATGTCGGAAACAAAACCATGTATTATACATTGCGAACATGTCTGAATCGATTTCCATTTGATATTCATAACCTCCTTGACCATATATGTCACTAGTTTGTTACCAGGCCAGCGTTAGATACATAGCTTTAAAATATGTTATTTACTCTATTACTCTTTAGGAGGATATATGTGCACAGAGCAACTCTGGAGGTGTGTAGAGAACTAGAGAGTAGAGACTAGAGACTCAAGTAATAGAGACTCAAGTAATCCGAATCGGCATCGCGTGATCGTAAACGTGTATGTACTATGTACATACGATTGTACTTTTTGCCGGACCAGATCTGAGATCGTATAGAAAAATAGCAGTGGAGACTAGATTCAGTGTTCGCTCAGTGGGCGATTCAGAACTGAAAAGCTCAAATCGGGTGATCGTAATCGTTTACTATAAACGATGCATGAGCAGTGTTGAAAATGCGCTTATTTTTACTATTTAATAGCTGCGTGATTGTTGTACAGACTACACAGGTTTGCATACAAGGCTTAAAGACAACTATTGCTATGATGTCATATCGATCGATAATCGTCGCCTTGACCTGCTATCTCCATGTATCAGTTGCCGAACCTGCATGCGACCCTGCCTCGATTGCCGCTTCGCAGGTTGTACTGCAGACATCAGCCTCCGAGTACGATGGAGCTCGCACCCAGTGGGCGTCGAGCATGGGCTCACAATCTGAGAGTGATGCGATGTTGAAGCCCAGTGACGTTCTGTTTTGTCAGTCCGAGGACGAAGTTCTGGATACAATCAATTTTGCACATGAATGCGATTACAAGCTGTCTATACGAAGGGGTGGACATAAATATGTGAGGATGGAACTCAATGTATCCAATTGGACGTGTCGTTGATGAATAAGCAGGAAGTGAATGGAACAAAGGTCACTCTCGGTGTTGGAAGCAAATTGGGGGATGTATATAGTTTTTTGCTAAGTCACGGTCTTTTTCTACCTCTAGGAGTTTGTAATGGAGTCGGGCTTGGACGACACCTACAGAGCAGGAACAAATTCCTAACGAAGTCTTATGGGTTGGGAATGGACCACGTTTCTAACTTCCGACTCGCCACCGCCAACGGCGAAATTTTGGACGTGAACGCTACGAACCACTTAGACCTCTATAAAGCGGTCTTCGGGGGTTCTCCTGGAAGTTGGGGTGTAGTTCGATGCAAGTGTTAGCGTGTATTTTTAGCCGTACTCGCACGATCTAGCGGTGAAAATTATGACTCAATTTTTAGAGACTGCTGCCCAACCGGAAGTCGCCCGTGATTTTGGTATGCTGCTCATATTAGGGCCGGATGAGAAACGAATTCTCGGCAGCAGCTACCCTCCAATCGATTACACACACTACATATCACTTTTCGCAGGTTGGACGGGTATCGACGGGGGTACCGGTCCAGAACAGTATCTCAAGGCATTCACTGACATTGAAGCGCCCTTTCATAATATGTCAATCTCCTTACCTGCGATTTTTGCTATTAAATTTCTAACTACCGACTTTGACCAGGGCGAGTTTCGTTATCATTCACATACCATGCCATAACCCAGATTTTGCAGAGATAGTGGCAACAGAGATGGATCAACCATTACTCATTCCAGATTATTACACCTCGATGCAACTTCAGAACGATAGTGGTACTGGACCTGGTAGTCAAATGAACAGGAATACGGGTATGAATTCGTATCCCCTACGAGATATGATGATTATTCTTGTTGATTGGCATTTCTTCCTCGATGAGGAAGCGTCTGAGGGTGTTAAGGTCACGACGGCCAATGCTTGGATTCAACCTGAGGCAGATTCGATGTGGATGGTTACCGATACTAGCAATGCACAGGAAGCTGACATCAAGGATTTATGGAAACGTTACTATCCGAATGCAGATTGGTTCGAGTGGTTGCAGGATGTTAAACTCCGCGTTGATCCCTATGATCTCTTCCACACCGATATGACAATACTAGTATCGGAGCCACGCGCGACCGGTAGGAGGGCAAAAGATATACAGCCCTGAGAAAATGATATAATCAAATTATATAGAGAACAGAGTGCTAAATTCAGTTTCTTTCTTCACGTATGATTACATGGTGCCCATCACAGAATTGATCATACTGCTAGATTCTTCTCGTTTGTTTAAAGTGCGATGGAAGCTAGGTAGGACTGTCAGTGAATTACTACAGGTGCTGATCAGGGCTGTCAGTAAATTATCATAGTTGCTTTAATAAAAGAGCTGATAATAATTACTGAGAGTTTTTTTGTGATTTATATTTGGAGAAATGAAATACAGGAACCACCTACCTGTACAAGGATAAACACACACTCACACACACACTCACACACAACACACACAAACACACACACACACACACACACACACACACACACACACACACTGAGACAATGGCTTATTCAATGATATAATGAAAGGATATAGAGAACAGAGTGCTATATTCAGTTTCTTTATTTACGTATGATTACATGGTGCCCGTCACAGAATTGCTCATACTGCTAGGTTCTTTTCATTTGTTTTTAAAGTACGATAAGCTAACCACTTCTGAGCTCACATGCTTCAATGCAGTGCACGAGGCAAGTGACTCGATGTTATCGATATGATTATTGCAGAATACGTCCCAAAACTGCAATGTGCGGCATATGGTAAGCGCGTCCGAGTCTGTGATGCGCATGCCTTCCACATTCAACGTATGGAGAGCTGCAGACGGGAGCTGATATATTCATTTAAAGGCAATACTCCTGTTATATAATTGAGTTTACTTTTACTTGCATGACGTTGTAATTCATATACATCCGAGAGTCGTGATTCCCTGTAAGGTCAATGGTGTGAAGAGCCGCTGAGCTCCCTGAGATCAGCAGTGACAAGTGAGCTACCGTGAAACTTATATAAACCCAGCGATCGTTACAAAGTCAGAGAAAATGCTTCTTAGCATCCTGTTATTTTAATTCTGGTATGAGTGCTTTGTCTCAGGGGTTTTTTAATGAATGTGTTTGGTGCAAAATGCACCTTTTCATGACTGTGGATGGAGTTCTTTCGTGCAGTCTGGGCCGCGTCGAGCCCTGGTAGACTATTAGTCGCAGGCAACGTACCTGCTATCATTTGTATAGGCTATGCTGATACCTCCAGTCACTCCAGTGCACGCGTATGTCAAGGGGAGAGTACATACACTAGATTGCTGTTTAAGCGTGAGCTATACCGGCATTCCTAACACGCTCGCTATACTAAAGCACGATACGGACTAGATAGTGTACAAAGTGCCACTCCACCCATTCAACTGATCACAATGTGCGTAGTGCTGGTCAGTACCATCTGTGGCAGTTGTATGTGGTGTGAGGGGCAGTCACTGGCAATGGTACTTTATGCTAAAAGCTTTTGAAAGCAAGCTCATTTGATTGACAAGTCCGGACAAATTATACAGATCAACACCACGCGTGCCTCCCATTTGCAAGGAGCTTTGTTTCCGAACGACACACGAAAGAGATTCCCTCCACAGCCGAGAGCGCACTAAGCTCACACTGATCTGGCTGCCTCCGTTCACTGGCTACGACCACCACGACTCCCACTCCGCTCCGTATCCGTAAACAGAAAGAGCAGGCACAGGTGCATTGCCCCATGCTGCTGGCTGACCTGCGTGCAGCTGAACGCAATGATCCAGACGCGCACTCGAGAGTTGAGAATCGCCCAAAGTCTGTGGCCAAACCAACGGCTCTGTTACTGATGAGCGATTGGATGTCTCGTTCGATGACATGTCTGTTGTACTCGCACCTCTGCTGGTAGGGTGTCACAGGGCCAAAGACCACTACCCCACACATACCCATACAGCGCAGGAGCCAGCCGAATGATAGAGAGAGAGTGAGAGGGGGGGGGGCTGGTCGGTGTGGCAGTGGCGATTGCACGCCTGTGACATGCGCCTTATGTCAATGACTCGTATCTTAAACGCTTATATGCCGATGACACATATCTAAAACGCTGATACGTTGCATTAAAGAGAAGTGCTGATATGCTGTAGTGGCTGGTGGTGTCACCGCCTGTTGTATCTGTGGGCACTCAACCCGTTCCTCCATGTGGGGGTGTGATGTAACCCGTCGGCGCAGTTGTAGGCACACGTGAGCGCGCATGTACAGAACATCTGCGGGCGCAAACAGCACCTGTCTCAGGTGATGACTTCCTGCGACATCGTGCTGTATGCACTAAACGCGTTTGCCTTATGGGCCACACAGCGTAACACGAAAGAAACAGACCATCGGATCAACCGACTAAACGCGTTTGCCTTGTGGGGGCCACGCAGCGTAACACGAAAGAAACAGACCATCTGATCAACCGATGGGTGTCCTTCAGCGGGCACTTCGCAACGTATGAGAACGGAGACAGTTCACTCACTAGTCATCTCAGACGCTCACACGTGCACTAGGCAGTACAGCGCCTGCGTGCACCCTTGCACGCCTGAGCTTATCTCAGCTGTTGACTCTTACGTGTGAGGCTATCTCACGACGAAACGGTGAAGCTCAGGCCCATGGTTTGCAGATAGAGACGGCTAATGCCTGCACCCCCCCCCACACTAATGGCCATGGTGGGAGTGGTATACTCTACAGCGATTGAGGCGCCCTGGTGAGTGAGTGGGTGAGTGAGTGGGTGAGTGAGTGAGTGAGTGAGTGAGTGAGTGGGTGGGGTGGTAAAAGGGTCAGACCAGTGGCACGGGACACCCACGCAGAGAGTGCAATGAATACATTACGCTATGGTACGCTTCCCATGCAAGGTGGTTGTTTCTACTACGAATGAATCTACTTATGAGAATTAGTTGACCTTTAAGTAGTACACGCGGGTACGAACAGGTGTGCGTTGGGCAGAGTGGGTCCTAGTTTGTGTGTAATAGGTGCGTCGCACGAGGGGGCGAGTGGGTTCACCGTATACGGTGTAGCTGTGGTAGACCTAACATTTATTGACTGTCAGTCCTTGGCATACAGAGAAGCCAAACGCAATGCGAATGGCCACTGGGTACAATGTGGTCTCTCCGGGGGTGCAGAAACGGAATTCGTTAACGTGTTAGAGCTAGCTCATCTTGTGATGAGATGCACACAAGACACTCACCACAGGAGCTGTGCTTTGTGCCGTACAGCATATGCTACCAGCTATCATGGTTGACATATATGCTGCAGCATCTGTGCATGCTAAGCACAACAAAGTAAACGACAAAAAATGGATGGCATATATATAGCCGCATCTCTGCATGCTAATAAGTACCAGTAAATAAATCACAACAATGGCTGGCATTTAAACTGCCGCATCTCTGCATGCTAATGAGTACAACTAAACACATCACAGCCAAGCATTGATTTCGAATACATATTTATACGGTCATGTGGCGCAAGGAGAGTACGTGCTATAGCATACACACGAGAGTATACAAATAGGACAACAGTACGTAGTACAGCATCTCCGGGTTCTAGGGTTCTAGGGTTTCAGCGGTTTAGAGTTTCAGTGCTTCTCTGTACGCACTAAACTAATCCACACAGTTATCCTTCCCTTTACTATGATAGGCCTCCACAGGTACCTCTATGAAGTATGCAGTACATATGTGTTGCATCACACGTAAGTTCAATTATATGCAGTACATATGTGTTACATCACACGTAAGTTAAATCATATGCAGTACATATGTGTTACATCACACGTAAGTTAAAATATATGCAGTACATATGTGTTACATCAAACGTAAGTTAAAATATATGCAGTACATATGTGTTACATCACACGTAAGCTAAAGTAGATATGTGTTTCATCACAGGTGCTTTCATATATTGCTTTCATAATCTATTGCATGACACAGCACAGGACACGCACTACATACACACTATTACCCATTAAGTGAGACTATTAAGAACTAAGTATGCACATAACATACACACTAGTAGCCACTAATTGAGACTATTACTAACTAATTTTCACCCACACTATCAGCCCTTCAGTGTAAATAACATAACTAGCACTGCACACACACCACATGCCTGTTCGGTGTCGCAGCAGAAGCGCAGGCGGAAGGGGCCATCCACATGCGCATCGCATCCAAAGGCTATGCTGCTGTCTTTGCTGTACACATTCAGCTCATACCTACGCGTGCGCAAACAAGCCAGTCGGGCTGTGTGAGACGTCGCTGTGTGTGCATCGATGCTACGCGTGTAGCGAATGTCTGTGTTCTGCATCTGGATACACATGTGTTCATTTGCGTGCCATAAGCACACATTCATTTGCGTGCCATCAGCACACATATGTTTCTTTGTGTGCCTGTGTGTCCATGTCCATGGCCGTTTGTTTCGCACAAGTCCGTGTGCGCGTGCAGTTACCATTTGGTATGGCGTGAGAGAATGCGTGTAGTCCTATGCCTCGTCGTGTGTGTGTATGTATGTATGTGGTAAGTGTGTGTGTGTGTGTGTATGTATGTGGTGAGTGAGTGGGTGAGAGAGTGTGTGTATGTATGTGGTGCGTGAGTGAGTGTGTGTATGTATGTGGTGAGTGAGTGAGTGAGTGAGTGAGCCTACAATAGCCCTCACATATCCCCAGTGTTTTTCGGGTTTAAAGTTTTCAGATACCTACCTTGAAGCCAGCGTCAACTGCCGCGTGAACTCTGAGGAAAACCCAACGGTGCAGTGGCCTGAGATGGGACTGACTGTAGTGAGCCATTGGTGCGCCTCTTCCTTCTCTTTGAAGTGTGCGCCGATGGAAATGCCAGGGACGTTCTCGCCCTCAATGGAATACACTATCTCTCCTCCCACCTGCACTCGCCCAACA